GGTTTGGTACTCGCTGCGCACATGTGCGCGCACGTTCGCGTGGGCACATGGCTTGCTCCCGCGGAGATCGTTTTGTACGCGCTCAGAGAAAATGATCTCCATGCGAGCAAGCCAGGGCCTCGCCCTGCGTGTCCCCCGCCTCACCACGTGCGTCCCCCACCCCCTCACTGGCCCGTGCCCCCCTCCAGCACTGCCTTGGCAGCCCGTGCCCCCTGCCATCACCTTACAACTGGCCCCGTATTGAAAAAGTTTGAGGACCCCTGGCTTAAGCTATTGAGCAGTATAGTATCATGAGAAATCAGAAAGGTTTTCCACCATTTAGAGCAGGGGTGGGCAACATCCGGCACTCTGGATGTTTTGGCATGCACCTCCTAACTTCCATCACCACTGGCTATGCTAAGGCTGATGGGAGCTGTAGTTCAAAATACCCAGGAGGCCACATGTTGACCACTGCTGTGCTGTGCTAGTGCAGGTATTGGAAATGTGTGGCCCTCCAGATGTTATTCCCAAAGCTTGTTCCTGCTTCTCTTCTCTTCTCCTTTTCTTTTTCTGGTATCTATTTTGGTACAGAAAAAGGGCTTGCATATTGTGTGGAAACAAGCACACATATAACCCCCCCCCCCCTTGGTAGCATTCCTTTCCTGTTTGAGGAAAGTGCCCCCTCACCACAATAGTATCCCCAAAATGCTATATTTGCCTTTTTCAGAGAAGGAAAGGGAAAGCAGTCACACTTCTTGCTTTTGGTTATCCAGATGGGAAGACTCAAGCAGAGTGCTACCCATTAATTCTATTCTTCCTGCTGATATATATGATCCACAGTGTGGTTCAAGATGTGTCCAAAGCTGGATGGAGACCAAAGCTGTTTTCTACCTGATGCGTTGTGTGTGGGCACACACAAAACTCTAATGCAAGGAATGCACCTAGGTCTATTTTGCACATCGTCACCTGGGTTACCATGCCTCATGCACATGGTTAACACTGATATAGGATGTATCAGCTGCGATGAGGTACACCATGATTTCTTACATGGAAATCATACCTGTGTAAGAGTGTCTGACATTTGTGAGCTGTTCTGCAGTAAGACAAAATAAGGGTTTTTACCTGATGCAAAAATGTGGCTTTGAACAAGGCTGGGAAGGAGTGTGGCAGTGTGGTGGAGTGGTTAAGCCTGTGGGAGTGGGACTCAGGGAGAACCAAGTTCTAGTCCCTACTCAGCCACGGGGCTCACTGAGTGACTTAAATGCATCCCCATGCAATTGCCTGCTTAGTTGATCTGGGGACAAGGCTTTGAGCTGGTCCAGAAGGCTCAGTTGGTGGAGGTGGGGAGGGCCACAGCAGTGAGCATGAGGGTCAGACTAGAAGGGGTGGTGACTTGGATATTCTGTGAAGTTCTCACACATCCCCTTAGATACTGTTCAGTACTGCCAGAAGGTTCAGCAGCAGTATGGGAACACTGTCCTAAGCTATATGTTTTGCAAGTTTTAAAAGCATTTTTGGATAATATTCTTAAAATGTTACCAAGAAAACTTTGTTTTGGCAAGTGAAGAGGCCAGCCCTGTAAAGGACCTCTGCTGCTTGCTCTAGAAGTTGTCTTCTTTCATTCTGTGTCTGTGTGGAAGGCTGGGGACACGGCCGTGCTTGCTAAACGGTGAGGAAAGGGAACTCTGCACATGCAGACATGAGTGAGGTCTTTGGTTCATCCAGCCCTGTGCTGTTGCCACTGACTGGCAGGGACTCTGTAGGATTTCCAGTGGGAGTTCTTCCAGCCCTTCCTGGAGCTGGCAACGCTGTCTCTTAGCCCTTGAGCCACAATCCCATGCAACCACCCTTGTTCATCAAGCACACTTCATAACTTCCTTTGCAAGGGAAGAATTAGCAAAGATGGGAGGAGCAAGTGCTAAGTGGGCACCTTGAAAGCTGAAGGTGCAACTAAGGCAGGGAACCAGGACCTCCAGATGGCCCATCACCTTCTGACTATTGGCTACGCTGGCAAGGGCTGACAGGTGCTGGGACTGGTCAAAGAGCAGTTGTAGGCTGCAGGAAGACAGAGCAGCCATGGCTGCTCCTGCGGTTTTGTTCTCTGACCTTGCTGCTGCTTGCCTCGATCTCCTCCCCACCCAGGGCCCTGCTAGACACAGCATAAGCAAGAGGATGAAGAGGTAGGAAGCAAATGCACGGGCACAATTTCTTCACCTCCCCCCCCCGCACTAGAGGGCTGTTTCAAGACTCATGCCCAGGGGAAGAGATAGCAATACTGTAGGGATATTATCTTCCATAGAAACTGCTCAGGGGTTCCAGGGGGATGCTGGTTTTACATTTCTCAAACTGGCTGAGCTAGGATTTAAACAGCGGTCTTTCTGCAGTTTTAAAAAAGTTATCTTAGTGACTTCCCAATTTCTTGGAATTGTGTTTGCTTAGAACTTACCAGGTAGTGACCTCCACTGAGGCAGATGAGTTGTAAGTCTTCTGGGGCAGGCTAACCATCACCTGACATCTGTGAGCCCAGAGCACTGGCTCTGCATAAACACACGCATTTTGGCAAGGTGAGGGCATGCCAAGATGAGATACCTTCAGATCTCCAGGGCCCCCACGCTACTCTCTCCCCTGGCTGGAAACCCCATGATGGAGCTGAATCTCCAGATCCTTTAAGGCATTCAAGCTAGTGCCATCACACCTTCAGACTGGGGCTTCCACAGCTGCATTGTGCATGGTGTGAAGTTCTAACAGCTTGCAGGGAGCAGCAGAGAGGCTGCCAGCGTGGCGCTCTTTTTTCCAGCCTGATGCCTCTTGAGCTCCCAAAGCAAAGGACAGGTCCCAGGTGAGCAGCCTGGCCCTCCTCGCTTCCAGCTTGGGCATTCTGTCACCTGGGATGTTTGCAGACCATCAGTAAGGAAACGGCCACTTACTTCCGTGGGCAAGCAACTCCTCATTGAGTGGAGTGCCTGCACTGTCAGGGCTGGCTGCCGCAAGCTCTCGCCGCCTGAGGGAAGAGCATTCATGCGCCTCTGCTGCATCTCCCATCCCCATCATGCCTCCCTGCATGGTGCGCTGCATCTCCCTCCATGCCTTGCTGCTTCCCCCTTCCCCTCCCACTGGTACCACTCTCTGAATCAGCCTAGAAAAGCAGCTGGTGCTGTTCCTCAGCTAACTGGCGTGGCCCAAATGTTTGCCAGCTAAGGGGGCCCGTCTTCAGGGGTCCCCTAGCAACTCCACCCCTGCTATATATCCACCATGGTTTTTAGGATGATCACTTGGGATGGAAATACATTTTTCTTTAGTCTGAAAAATGTTTTCCATCAACAAGATTTAGGGTTTTGAGTGAAATAGCTAAGGCATGTCACATATCTAGGCCTTGCAAAGTTTTAAGAAATCTGCAACCCGTTGATCTAGATCAGTGCTTCCCAACTTTTTTTTTTTTTTCCAATTTGCCAACCATTTCCTTGGCAGTCTATTTCCATAAGCTGTATCCTTCATATTAGGAAAATGTTTGTTAATTGATATAGTTGCTGTTATTTCTGCTGTTATACAATTTTGTTGTGTACCCCTAACAAAATTCACACCCCCTGGGAGTAGACATACTCCAGGTTAGGAATCGCTGACCTAGATCAACAAAGAGGAAATCCTCAGAGGGAAAAGAGGTGCCATGTTGCATAGAATAAACACGTGCTCCTTTGCCCCCTGCTGGTGGGAATCCAAATTGCTCGCTGAATAGCTGAAGAAGTAGGAACAGCCAGCATGCAAAGATTTGCTGTTAGTTAGGTACAGAGGGGACAAAGGCAACTTTTCCCCCTGAGCCTCTGGCAGTTTCCTGCAACATGAGAAGTATCCTGTGAAAATGGGAGTGGGATAACCGCTGTCTATGATGTGAATTGCACATCCCATCAATATGGAGGTACAGACCACGGGAACAGCCCAGGCCGAAATCACATGATCTGCAGGATGAGAACTGCTAAAATGGAAACTTGGACCCAGCGCAATCCCTAATCCACCCTGCCTGCTTGCTCAAAGGAGTAAGCATCATGGAAGAGAGCAAGCAGCTGTCTCCCAGAAGTAAAGCAGCACATCCAGAACAGACCAGAACTAAGGCTGAACTGGTGCAAATGGCATTTCATAACTATCTTCTACCAGGCACTATTTCCTGGGAAATCTTCCAGGATGAGCACCAGAACATGAACTATGCTTGTGCATCTCTATTAATTTTGGTGGCTCTTGTGCAGGAGAACTATCCAACAGACAGTGCTCTTTTGTCAGACTTCCACTCTGAAAGCTGCTACTGAGGCAGTGGTCTGACCTTGCTTTTGGTACTCGTGTCCAAATAGGCTGCTAAACTTGTAAAATCTCTTTCCAAGGGCAATTTCCCAGGCTATGATCTTAATATGTGCATGTTACAGACCAGTGATAATGCAGCATTTAAACAGTAACACTCAAAATGGGCTCATATCCTTGTACATGCTGTGGAAATGGCCAAGTAAATAGGCACCATATGCCACTCTATCAAGAGCCCATTCATATCATAAGGAATGAAATGGCCCTCAGTACAACTTAGTTCAGGGTCTCAGGCCTGCAGCTCCTCTTTAGAAATACAGCGTCCTGGTTCAGAACACTTTACACCGAAGTCTCTGATAACAATTAAAGCTGTGCAAGAGCCGAGCTGGTTGATCCAAGCTGCTTCAGCTCCCTCTGAAGCAAGTAATAAGCAACACATGTTCCTCACCAGGATTTTTGTAAATCAGCAGGTAGGCGGGGGTTGAAGTGGGAGAGAGGGGGGGAGGGAATTATTTCTACCAGGCCTAGGCAATCCAGTGGTTTTACAGTGCCTGCCTGCCTGCCTGCCTGCCAGCCAGCGGGGCTGATGGAGCACATTCCTTGCCCCGTTTCTGCACCGGAAGCAGGCTCTGGGATTGCAGTAGACACAGCCCACAGTAGCTGACCAGGAACCATGCTGTTCCCAGTTTATGCCCAGCACTCCCCGACAGACATGAAGACAGACCAAATGCAGGTGTAGATGAGCCTTATCACTTTGTTTATTGTTGTCAAAGGGTAGGGAGGCAGGGGCAGAATCAAAGGAGCGATATGGGATGAAGCAGAAAGGCATTGGTGTCAGCGAGAGAGAGAGAGAGAGAGAGAGAGAGAAAGAGAGAGAAAGAGAGAGAGAGAGAGACAGGCAGGAAGAAAGTTCAGCATGGACAGATAGATGGTGAACAGAGACAGACACTCTGGGGTGACCAGGACACCTGGGGTATGGGCAGAGTGGGTAGATGGAGGGAGACATTGCCCTGGGGGCTTCTAGGACTGAGGTAACACGGGACAGGGCTGGCGTGATTCATGCCGGATGGGGGGAAGGTGGGTCCCCCTCCCCCCAGCACGCCAGTGTCTCTATTGCTCTGAACTTCAGTCACAGTTTTGTAAGGGGCAGAGGGCAGGGGAGAGTAGTGGTGGCCAGGATACCAGCCATGGCATGGAAGACCTTCCTCCCTGGGCTGTGGGGATCTGTTTGGAGCCTTGCATTATTCTTCTGCCTGGGGAGATGGGAAACTGCAGACCATGGCATGCGCACGAGAACAAACCTGAACCTTCATTGTTCCGTTAATAAGCACACACACACACAGTCCACCAATAGGCGCCAAGTAGGACGAGTGCCAGGGAATTTAACAAGCATCTGGAATTTTATGCGCTTTGGGCGGGGCTGGGCTTTAGGAGGGAGCTGCTTAATCTCCAGGACACTAACAACCTGGCCTCTTGGTTAACGTCCCACTTGCTCAAGAAAAGGGATGGGAACCCAGTGCTGCAGAAAGAGGCAAGGGGAAGGCCAGGGAGAGATGTTGTGCTACCATGGCAACCATGGAAAATAACCCAAAGGAAAGGTCTACAGGCAGAAAGAGATGCAAGCAACTCCTTGGGAGGGATCCTGACCCTTCTTCTTGGAGGCCCGTCATGGCTGTTTCCAGGGTAGGCGATGAGTGTGGTGCTTTCCTTGATTCAGATGAGGAGGCTCCCTGGTTCCTCCCGAGTTGACAAGCTCGACTCAGTGGGCGGATGCCCATCTCCCTCTTGGTGCAGAAGGAACTGGGGAGGGGGCATGGGAAGCAGGAACACAGTACTTGCTCGGCCAGTCTCTTCTAGAAGTGCAGTGGTGAGGGGCCCACGGGGGGCCCCTGTTGCATGGAAGCGCAGTGAGGATGGTATGAGCACAGGGGTGGGGTGGGGTGCAGAATCAAGGGGCATGTACATGGAGGTGCCGGCCAGCATTATTGCAGTAGGGACTCTTTTTCTAGAGGCCCTTGTCTTCTGTCCCGTGCACACACACACTCACACATACACACACACCCCCGCCTCTCAGTGCAAGTGGACAATGGCTTGTATGGGGGGGGCCAAGGGCCCCCCTTAGCTCTGGGATGAAGGGAAATTGCTTGCTGATCAGTCCCTGAGGTACCAGAACTGCCTCCCCTTTCAGTGCTCCATGGAGTCCTGGGGAGGCACTGCCACTCCCCAGCCTTTCGTACCTCGAGAGATGCGACAGACACGCACGCACGCACGAGCACCCCAGCCCACCCATGGGGGAGCCTAGCACTTGTGCAGATTTGGCCAGGCCCCTGGAAGGGGTGGGGAGTCACTGTGGTGTGCGTGCATGTGTGTGTGCATGTGTTGGTGGAAGGGTGGGGTTGTCCCTTTTCTCTTCTCCGAAAAATAAATCCATTTCCAGTTAAAAAGAAAAAAAGGGGGGAGGGGGGAGTAAAATGCTCCTGTCGGATGGGACCGGATGCCATGTGACATTGCTGGGACTGGTTGCTAGTTGCTGGGGGGCGGTTCCAGTGGTGCCAGGAGTCCCAGGATTGTGGCAGGCAGGTGGGCGGACAGGGTGGCATCAGTACGGCGAGAAGAGGATGGGTCCATGTGCAGTTCGGATGGGCCCCGGAGCTGGGCGCAGTAGCGGGTGAGTCAGAGGCGGGCCCTGCAACAGTGGCGGCGTCGGGGCTGGTCGCAGCGTCAGGGGCGTGGAGGCAGCTGCTGCCATGGCGGCTGCTACGGCCAGTGGATTGGGCAGCAGTCCAGCTGCCAGTGACTTGGGAAGCTCCTTGGGGAAGGCCAGGGAGCTCTGTGGAGACAAAAGAGAGAGAAGACAAGGCATCAGGGGTGATAGAAAAAGAACTGTGAGGGAAGGAAACCCAGATTCGGCGCGCAGTTCAGTGGAGCTGGGGTGAAACCCAATTTCAAGAAGGTCTCAATTCTGACAAAATGGCAGGGCTGTTATCACTTCTGAGGTTTCTGCTTGTCCTTCAGTTTGGGATTTTTAGCCCTCCCCATTCCTCTGGTTTGGCTTTGTTACTAGATTAAAGGGGTGCCAGCAATGAGCACTTGAACAGAGAGGGGCACACAAGCTCTGCCTGCCTTGGCAAATGCCCGCCTCTACTCACCGGCAGCTCTGCCATGCCTCGCTGCTTCTTGTGCCGACTCAACAAGGGGTTGGGCTTCCCGGCTACTCCATCCCGGTGCCGCCGACTGGAAATGTGCTGTGGAACCAAAGAGGAAGAATGGGAGATAATGCTTATGAGTATCAAAGATATCCTGGCCCCTTGATTTGTTTCTCCCACTCAGTAGCTGCAGCCACTTCCAGTCCAGGAGTATACATAGAACCCATGAAAGAAAGTTCCCAGTTGTTCATGGAACTGCTTCTGGATTTAATCAATCTCTGTGCTTGCAATGGCACCTTGTGTACACACCTTGGGAATGCACATTCTTTGCAGGCAGTAGCCTACAGCCCGAGGCACAGCGGCCCCTCTGAAATGAGCAGGGGCTGTGCAAGAGTCATAGTGTGCAGTGGGTCATTCCAGCCCTACATCCTGCCATCCCCGACAGAGACCAAAATCTGGCAGTGAGCACTTCACCTTGCTGGGTGAGTGGGCTGGCTTGACCCCACTGCCTTGGGTCACAGACACTTTTGAATTAAGAAGCCCTAACAGGGTGGCTTAAGATGACCTGGAAGTGACACCCGGCACTTCCTAATTGCAGATGTAGGAGGGCTATCTGCCATTATCCGCTGGACAGAGGAATGCACATCCTTCTTTAGCACCCAGCTTAGCACTGTCAAAAGGCCTTGACTGTTTCATGTCCAATCAGAATGGTTTTTCTAAGAGCAGGTGGGCCTCCTCTGGCAAGATGCTCTTTCGTGGTGTTGCAAGTGGGTCCACACCTGTTTGAGCTGGATCTCCGAGTTGACTTTGACATTGCAGATTTCACAGTGGAAGGTTCTCTCCTGAGCACTGGGATCTTGGCTGCCTGGCTCCCCTCCAGCCGTGGGGCTCAGGCGTGGATATGCCTTGATAGGTCCCAACCCGCTGCGTGCTTCCAGGATAGTCTTGTGCTTTGTGCCTAGGCGGAAAGGAGGAAGAGGTTCTGTGAGTGTAAAAGGCGGAAAGCAACCTCTTGCGAAATGTCCATTAAGAAAGATGCTTCACCATATCACTCCTTGCTGGATGCTTCCTGCACATTGATGCTGAATTCTGCAACTGGTATTAATTTCTGCGATACTGCAGTGACCCCACCAAAGACACCCCATCCCACGTGCATCTGCTGATTTTGACAAAGAGAGGAAGAAGCTGAAAGAAACCAGCCAATTACATAGCGAGCATCCCAGAGTACCAGTCACTCCATTGAGTCCCACCCTTGCAATTTCCTGCTGTCCAGAAGGCATTCCGGAGCTCACACTGGCCCAGCTACTCAGAAGGCCCAAATGCCTTGCATGCAGAAGGTCTCCTGCTCAATCCCTGACATCCCCAGGTGAAATGTTCACACAGAGGCCACGGTGAAGAACCCGGGCACAACTTCTTCTGTTTGAGCCTCTAAGCAGCTGCTGCCAGTCTGAGCAAACACCTCTGGGTAAGATGGATAAACATTCTGGCTTGCTATATAGCAGCTTTTTATGATCTTAAATTTAGCTGCCTCTGAGAACTCCGGGAAAGGGCTCCCCTATTGTAGCATGTCCATGAAGACACACAGTGAGCTGTGTGACCAGTGGGTATGCACACGTGCACACATAGCTTGAATCTCATGACAGCCACAAACTCATTTATGAATTAGTTTTAATTAAGACACTCTAGGTCCTGTCATGCCATCTAAAACATGGGGTTAATTAAACATACTTCCAGAGCTGAGGTAAAGTTTACTTACTTAATTTCTATACCTAGGTCTACCTAGGGTAGGGATGGGCAACTGTGGCCCACCCAGTATTTTGGCCTACAACTGCTATCATTTCTAGCTAACATAGTTGAAGGTCAAAACAATCGGAGGACCAAAAGTTCCCCACATGATTTAGGATCAACTACAGGTTGCACTAAAATGTTCTTCACAAATGCGCTTAAAACAAGTGACCCCTATCTTTTCTTTATAAACAAGGCAAGAACTGTGGAGGTCCCTGATCTTGATCAGAATTGCAGAACATGAGAGGGGAGCAGAACCCTTCCTGAATATTATTTTTCTATGAACTCTCAATCCAGCTGCTATTTGTTCACAAAGGAGGCTACTTGGATGAACATGCGGCCTTCACAGAAAAACAGTAGAAAAGGCCTAAGCTCCTCATGCCTGCTTCAAATTGGGGGCACCAGTGGCCATTTCGATTCACTGTAGTTAATAAGGCTTTTCACTGCATGTGCAGCTTGGCCCTTAGATAATGTACATGCAGTGCTCTGAATAACTGAGCGGCATTACAGTGTGCCAAGCATTACCATAAAGAAGCTGTCTCTTTGGGCAGCCATGTTCTAAGCTCTGAGGAATTTCAGAAGGACTATAAGGAAGAGAGTGGAAGAAATTCACATGGGGACTAGTCCCAGAATATTATGCCACAGACAGGGGAGCAAGTGGTAAATGTCTGAAGGGCAGGCACTGTCTGTGACGGTCCCCACAGGTGTGCTGCAAAGCGGAGCCCACAGAAGCAGGCAGCTGTATTGATCCACCTCAGCAAACCAGTTTGAGCAGTTTTCATCTCCCTCGGCAGCAGGTACTTTTCGCTTTTAGAGCTAATGGGTTCCAATTTCCCATTCAAGAGCAGGTCACCCCCCAAAAATCTTGGCACTACTAAAGGTAACAATAAATTGCTGCTGGGAAAAGTCATTTCCCCCTCCCCCCACAGCTACTGGAGGGCCAATACGGGACTGGAGGTTACTATGGGGACTGCGGCTAAGTTGAGAGGCAAGAGGGAAGCCTGAGGTGTCTGGCCTGTGGCAGGCAGATGACATCCGCTTCACTGCTAATCAGGCACTGGTGTCTCCACACTGCTGTTAGCCCTGGCTCAACTACAGAATCAGCCCTGGAAGAGATTTCAGCCTGGCCTCTCAAGCCTTTTTCTGTAGGACATTTAGCATAATGGGTTACGAGCTCCGCCGCCCCCCCCCCACCCCCAACACCCCTCCTGCTAGCAAGACTGCCCCTAACACAAGGAAGAATGAGGTAGCCCGCTCAGGAAGAGCAGGAAATTCTTCATTTCTTTTAGGAAATATTTTTGCAGCTGGATGACTGGGATTGAGGCAAAGGACCACTTGGGTCTTTTCATGCAAGTGCCAAAAGGCCATCGTCATGGTCTTCCTCGGCCTTGCTTGAGCTCCCTGGTCCTCACTCGCAGACTCCTCTGCTCTCTAAGTTGCCTCCATGGTTCCGTGACTGGCCCTCGGCTCTGGCCCTGCAACTCCCCGCCAGGTGCTGACACATGAGGATGGGGAAGGCCAGCTGAGGAGAAGCAAGCAAAGGGATGGCGGGGCCTGGAGGAAGAACAGAACTTGCTGCAAGGCCAGGCTGTGCTCCACAGTGGCAGGAAGGCAACCGGACTTTCTCTAGCCTGACAGGCCTCCCCACAAAATGAGCTCACAAGCCTCCTCTGGAAACCAGCGCTCCCCTCTTCCACTCAGCTTTCCAGGACTGCTGAAGTGGAGGAGGTGGTCAGGGAACTGGAGAAACTGCTGTGGAAAAACCACAAAATGGCTACTCAGTGATTGCTGCTTTGGCACCTACATGTCAGGACTATGGTTTTCATTCTGCATGAACATTTCTTTCATGTCTATTTGGCACTGCAACATCTCTTAAATAAGGGATTGTTTAATTCAGCTGCTTGTCTTGACAATGGACAACAGTCAACTTCTTTTTGGGAGGAGGTTATTACCTAAGTATGTTTTGCACTGGAACCGTCTTATTCTCTGATGGACGGTCTTTTAAATTTACCTGCTACATAGAAATTAACATTTGGTCAGCATAAAGAGATTCCCTGTGAACTTCTGACAGCTAAAGGACTAGAAAGATAAATACACCCCACCTGTAACACAATGGATTCAGGACCTGACAAAACTTTCAATATTTGCATGGGTGGCATATAGATGGCACCTTCAAATAGATACTTATTTGGATAGCTGTCCCACTTTTGTTGAAGCGTTTATATGATGTGCTAGACTGCTGCATGCTCATCCTTCTTTTGAGATCGCCCTCACAGAGGTGCAGGGGGTGGGGATGGGAGAGGGTATTTCAGAGGTTGTTCCCAGGCTGCAGCACTGCCTCCCATGGGAGGCTGGGTCCACTCGCTCTCTGCTCCCCTTCTGACACCAGGCAAAGTCTATTTTGTTCAAGAAGGCACTGTTCTGGTTTTGCTTCATGTGTTTTCTTGTGTTAGACTATTCTGAGTTGTTCTGCACGATGCCTTGAGTGCCTTTCTTTGAGAGAAAAGCAGGTATGCATTAAACAACTACCTTTGTTGTGAGCCTCAAGCTGAGACAGCGAATTGACAGCCACTTTGCAGAGTGCGCAGTACAACAGCTTCTTGGCCTTCTCTTCGTCGGGCTTGGTGCTGCCATTGCTCTGGGGAGCCACCCCGGAAGCGGCTGGTGCGGCAGCTGCCACCGCTGAGATCTCGGCCACCTTGGTACCCCAGGCTGGCCCACTTGTGGAACTCTGGCTTGGTTCAGGGCAGGGGGCCGAGTGGGGCGTTGCGGCAGCGGCTGGAGAGGCCAGGCAGGCCTGCTTATCTGGAGAAGCTGGAGCTGGCAGAGGGGGCACCGTGACTGCACCCCCAATGCCGTTTAGCTGTTCTGCTGCAGGAGAGAGAAAAAGAGAAAGGCATCAGGGCAGGGGCAGGCGAGCAACACATACACAGAGTGCAAGGAGGGCTTTGTGGATGAAATGAGGAATGGGACCCAGAGCTGGGATTAATTTCAGCTGAAGCTTGCCAGGGCTCAGCAGCCAATCTCTTTGAAGTTCCAGGGTTTGAGCAGAGAGCAAGGGAGGCAACAGCAGAGAGTCTCTGCACCCACCCCTCACATACTGCACTCCAGCATCTGATCCTCCCAGAGACTGCAGGCGGCCTTCCCAGCCATGCTGGCGAGCAGCCCCTGGAGGACCCACCTTCCAGGAATTTTACTCCATCTTTTTTGTTTCAGAGGCTGCATAGGCCAGCAGTGATCACAACATCATGTAGCAATGAGTGCCATAGGTTATGCATTCATTGCCAGACATGCACAGAGGCATCTTCCTCAGCTCACTATGTGGTGAAAAACAAGCACTAACAAAGGCATTATAAGGGAGGTTTGGGGCCCTGCACTGATTTCCAATTTTAGATCCCCAAAACTGACAGGGTCCCCTCCCAAGTTCCAACGCAAATGGATTACTGAAGCATGTCGTGAAAATTCTCAGTTTACAGAAATCCAGCTGGCAGATATGTTCAGTTCTTCCATATGAAAAATGACCTCCATCATAGCAAAAAGTATTTGGATATTCCAGTATAATAGAATAAGCAGTCTTGTGCAATATGATAGCTAGAGCTGGGATTCTCTTGCTTTGAAGCAGAAGATGTCAATACTAATACATTAATAACTCATCTGGCATGTTTCAGGTCTCATCCCTGGCACTCAGAAGAGGCTCCAGAGTTGAGCCCTGGCTTACAATTAAACCTCACCCATGGGACAGGATTAAGGAGACCTTCTTTTTACTGAAGCAAGGCAAGCAAGGCTGTGTTACAGCCTACTAAAATGTTAATTTATTATTATTTTTCAACGCAAGAGCCATGCTCAAGAGATCTCAATTCTATACTCATTAGCTTAGCATAATTCATTCTGCTGTCAAGACTTAGAATTTAAATATTTTCAGCAAGCAAATGTGAATGCAAAGATCAAAGAAGATTATGAAGAACAGAAACAAAAGCTACAACTCATTGTTAAAAGGAAAAGTTATTTTTAATATTTTTCTCTTCCCATTTTAGTTCCTATTAATATAACACACCAGAAGCAACACAGCTTCAAAAATAATAAAACAGGACTGCTCTTAAATTATGCCAGGCCTACAGATTAAAATTGGCTCTCCATATATTAATCAACTGAAGCTTTAGTTGAGTAATCTGTTGATTAAATGGATTAAAGATCTTATCCATTCCTAATTCTCACTGAAATGGAAAAGAGAAGTTGCTTTTGGGAAACCCTGTTTAGATCCTGTTTGTACACTTTCTGCAGATGCTTCATTTCACTTCATTTCAGCAAGCATAAGAAAACTGGACAAATGTTTCCACAATATTAGTTTTTTACCAAATACCCTATTTCACAAAATTGCATGGGGATACCTAGAATGTGTCACTCAGAACATAGGATGCAATCCATAGTTACATAAAAGATCTCCAGGTGGGGGTGATTATTTTATGGCAGGCAGTCCTTGAAGGGTATTTTGCAGGATGTCCCCAAACACCTCTTGAAGAATGATAAACAACTTATACCAAGTCTTGGTATTTTTCCAGATCAGGCCATTAGTCCAGCCAGTATCACTGACAATGACTGGGCTTGCACAACTGGGAAAGGAAAAGAAGCCACAGTGGCTCATTTCTCACCCCACATGTAGTCATCACACACTACCTCATTATCCAGGTTGTGTTGCCATGTCATCCAAACCCAATTAGGTGGCTGATGCGGATGTCTTCCAAACTATCTCACAACGCATGGAAGCCACCCCTCACTGCTTAGCCTCCTTGAGCCCAGTACAAGTCACGTTTGAAGCAAGGCAGCATGTGCGTAGCCCATGCAGAGGGGGGCAAAAAACCCCCATCCTAGCTTTTTTGCCTTCCCTGGTTATGGGACCCTGGCCAAGGCATGGCAGCAGTGGTCTTGAGTTCCTGGCAGGATTCTCTCTGAGCCCTACCTGGAGATGGTAGGGGTGGTGCATTGGTAGTAGAATTAATTATCAACAGTCAGGAGGCTGCTGAGTGGTCTAATTTAGCCCTTCTGAGCAGTATGAAGTGGGCCTCCCTAGGGAAATGTGGGCAGCTGCCTGATCTCCCTTATTCCTCCTGGAATGCACATGAAAGATTACTTAACTCAGCTTAGCTGCCTTTCAGCATATATTAACCCCACTATCAGCTTCACCATCATGGACTTTCCTTAGCCTTTCAGCAGATTCTAATTCGCTTCAGCCATTACTGTGGAACAAAAGCAGAGCTTGCTGGGTTGCCCAAATTACTTAAACTGGGAATATAACAAGGATGCAATTTGGTGCATGAGCACTATGTGTTTTGATTGGGACAGAGGGCAGCATCCATTCAGCCCCTTCATCCAAATTAGTGAAATAAATACCAGGAGCTGTTATTCAAGATGAAAGTGTAAATGCTGGAATTTGAATCTCTGGAAGTGTTCGAACCGCAGCAAGCAGTGCTGGCAGCAGAGTCACCGAAAGCAAAAAAAAAAAAACACTGAGAAGATGTGTTGGGAATGAGAAAATGAAGAGGTTTCAAAGGATATGCTGACAACAGAAAGAACCCTATTTGCATCATGATACATTATTTATTGGAAGCTACTTTTCAGTTGCTATGAGAAAATTGGGGCAAGCATTTTCTAAGTAAACATATATATTGGAGCATGTACATGTCTCACCCCTTACCACTGTCTGCTATTGGGACAGCCAGTGTAGCACAGTGGTTACAGTGTTTGGCTGGGACCCAAGAGATCTGGGTACTAGTCCCCACTCAGCTGAGAAGTTTACTGGGGGATTTTGGGCCAGTCACAGACTCTCAGCCTGACCTCACAGGATTGTTGTGAGGAAAAAATGGAGAGGACAAGATCACATAAACTACTTTGGGTTCTTTGCAACAGGGAAAAAAGAGTGGGAAGCAAATGCAATAGTAAAAAACAAATATTTATTGTGGGGAGGGAGGGTGTGTCAAAGAAGCAGCTACACAACAACTGGTTTCATATGGGAGGGGGCAAAAGCAATGCTTTTGGGAGACCCAAACTGTTCCCAATCCTCTTCCTTCAACTTTGAGAATGTCTGCCTTTTATCATTCCTGATCATGCCCATAATCTCTGCTGAAAATGGCTTTTCCTTCATTATTAGCCAATCAAAGATCATGTGGTGAAGATGTCATGGCACAGCCAATCACATCTGGCTGTGCTGGTGTCACTGAGAGCCAATCAAGCCAACGGTGAATTAGGGCAATGCTTTTTGCCCAGCGTGTGGGCACTGTTTGCCCTCATTCTGAAGATGTGAGCCATTCTCTTTCACTGCAGTCTTAGGGGGCTTTTTTCCCTTTCTGCTGAAAACATTTCACAAAAAAACAACCTGCACTCCTTTTATTTGCAGTCCTAGTTAAGTAGTCCAGTTTTATTTTGGCCTGCTTAACAGCTTGTTGAAAAAAAAAATAAAAAAGTAAAAGAGAAACTCCCAGAAGATATACAGTGTAACATTCCTTAGAAAGGTGCAGAGAAATGTATTCCTAAACAAACAAATCTCTACAGAGTTATAAACTGTAAACAGCCTATCATCAGGGAACTGAACAGTAAATTTGCACTTATCACATCAATACTTGGATCAAAGAGTGCCTCTTCAATATATGTGCAAATTCCCAGTGATTTTCCCCTTAGCAATGGCATACATCATCACCCAAAACAAAAGAGAGAAAGTTCTCAGATGCCTGAAGAAAATATCTTTTTCTTCCGCAGAGGCTGCAATTAGAATTCCACCACAAAACATTGTTAGCATTTCATAACTCTCTGAAGAAACCAAACATACATGAAAAGTTGCATAAATTAACATTGTTCACTAAATACAGAGATTATAATGTTTATAAAACACACCCATTAAAAGAATTGGATTAAAACTATTGATTTGCACTCTAGGTTTTGTATCCATCCCTTAATGTATTTAAAAAATCACAATGTTAAGGTACTATGAGTGGTCCTAAAATTATCTACAATAAAACTGCTACAACAGAGCAAAATGGTTTCATGGTTTAAGACACTCTTAAAATCTATTACTATATCTAACAAATTACCATAAGTACTATAGTAAAAAATTACACCATTTCTAATCCATAACCATTAATGAGATTTTTTTGTTAAAACTTTTGGGACACACAAATGCCTTCCCCTATATGTGCTTATATATATATGTGCTTATATATTTTCCCTTTCCCTCAGAAAGAGAAAAAGGTAAGATAAAATTTAATTAATAAAAATAAAAAAAATATATGCACCCATCTGCTGGAGCAAAAGTTTCAGGGTTCTGTTAAACTTAGCCACTGTATATATGCTGTAAGGCCTTAAGCCACAGAGCAGCAGTGAAAACCCCAACCTTTCCACCTCTTCAGGGATTCCACAGCCTGTGACATTCCCTCCCCTGCCACCCCTTCCCTCCATCCACTGATTCTTGGGTGGCTTCCCAGCTTTTGTGCAGTCTCCCTGCCTTCTGCATTCAAATGCTTTTCCTTAGGTCCTGCGCTGGTTTCTGTAGCATGTTTGGACCTGCTGCTTTCACCTTTTTCTGCCACTAGAAATGTGGCTCTTGAGAGTTTCTTTGAAATGATATATGGCCCTCTGGCTGCAGCCTTGGTACAGAGTTTGCTATTTAATTGTGACAAAAAGACAAAGATGTGAAGTCTGGGGCTGAAAAGCAGGGTGGTTATGCTCCCTTTCACAGGATCTGAGGAAAAGGAAGACCCACCCTAGCTGACTCTGACTCTTCCACCCGGGCTGGCCAGGCCCCAGCACACAGCAAAGAGTTGCTTTTATATTCTATAACTCCTTTGGTAAATGCAGAAGGGGACTGCCTGCTGCCAAGCCAT